TGATATCCCTGATGAACAAAGATACAGAGATGTTCAAAAAATTTCTAACAAACCAAACACAGCAACATATTAAGAGAATCATCCACCATAATCAAATAGGTTTCACCTAAGGGATGCAAGCATGATAGAAAGCAAACCAGGGCATCCCTCCTGGAGCGGAGGTTAAAGTCTCAGCACTATCAAGCTATAGCCAGCCACTGCAACATGAGTTCGATCCCCAGCCAGGGACTAACCCACATGGCGCAGCAGACCTCTCCTGTCTCACTTGCTGCTCCCTCAGCAGTGTATTTCAATAGATCCGCCTGCTCCACTCCCCACTCTGTCTGTGGTGAATCCTCTCATCCACCACACCTCTGGCCTACACCCCAGTTCTTGTATGCATAAATAAATAAATCTTTAAAAAAAAGAAAGAAAGCAGGGGCCTCACTGGTGGCGCAGGGCTGAAAGACGGCACTATCAACCTACTGCCAGCCACTACAGCACAAGTTTGATCGCTAGCCAGGAAGCTAACCCACATGGCACAGCAGACCTCTCCTGTCTCGCCCGCTGCTCCCCTCAGCAGTGTATTTCAGTCAATCTGCCTGTTCTGCTTCCCACTTTCTCTGGTGAATCCTCTCACCCCCACCCCGCACCTCTGGCCTGCACCCAGTTCTTGTATGCATAAATAAATAAATCCTCCTTTAAAAAAAAAAAAAGAAAGCAAATTAATGTCATTCATGAGATCAAAAACAGGAAGATAAATTCACATGATCATTTCAACAGATGCTTTAAAAAATTCAACAATATTCAATATCCATTTGCTATTTAAAACACTCTCAGCAAGGACCTCCCTGGTGGTGCAAGGGGTTAGGCGTCAGCACTGTGAAGCAATCCCCAGCTACTGCAGCAGGAGTTTGACCCCCAGCCAAAGAGGTGACCCACATGGCGCAGCAGACCTCTCCTGTCTCGCACACTGCTCCCCTCAGCAGTGTATTTCAGTCAATCCACCTGTTCTGTTCCCCACTCTGTCTCTGGTGAATCCTCTCACCCCCTGCATCTCTGGCCTATACGCCAGTTCTTATATGCATAAATAAATAAATCTTTTCAAAAAATAAAAATAAAACATTCTCAGTAAACAGGAATAAAGTTATAATACAATAAAAAGCTATATATGACAAAGCAACAGTCAACACCATATTCAATGGTGAAAAACTGAAAGCATTCCCACTACAATCAGGAACAAGACAATGATGTCTACTGTCACTACTACTATTCAATATAGTATTGGAAGTCTTAGCTGGAGCAATTAGGAAAAAAAGACACAAAAATAATCCAAATGAAAAAAGAAGTGAAACTATTGCTATTCACATTTGACATCATAATACACATAGAAAATCTAATAGATTCTACAAAAACACTAATAAAAATAATAAATGAATGCTGTAAATTGGCAGGATACAAATTCAACACAAAACAGTCAAATGGGCAGAAGAACTTAAAAGACATTTCTCCAAAGAGAAAATGCAAATGGCCAACAGGCATATGAAAAAATGTTCAGCATCCCTTACCATCAGGGAAATGCAAATTAAAACCACATTGAGTTACCACCTTACACCAGTAAGAATGGCACATATTAAAAAAACAAGCAACAACAAATGTTGGCGAGGATGCGGTGAAAAAGGAACTCTCCTACACTGCTGGTGGGAGTGCAAGCTGGTCCAACCACTATGGAAAGCTGTATGGAGGCTCCTCAGTCTACTAAAAATGGAGCTACCCTATGACCTGGCAATTCCACTCCTAGGAATCCACCCAAAGGACACAAAAACACTGATTCAAAATAACACTTGTACCCCTATGTTTATTGCAGCACTATTTACAATAGGTAAAACCTGGAAACAACCCAAATGCCCATAAACAGATGACTATTGATTTGCTTTATCCTTTAATAAGTGATGTTGAACAGTTTTCCACATGCCTCTAGGCCATCTGAATATTGTCATTAGAAAAATGTCTATTTTTGAACTGGGTTTTCAGGTTTCTTTTGTTGTTGGATTGCATAAGTACTTTGTATAAGTATATTTTGGAAATTAGCCTCTTGTGTGATATGCAAACATCTTCCCCCAGTCTTTATGTTGCCTTTTTGTTTTTGTGAGTTTCTTTTGTGTTCAGAGGCTTTTTAGCTTAATGTAACCCCATGTATATTTGCTTTTGTTTCCCTTGCTATTGGAGGTGATTCCCCAAATACATCTTTGTGGTAGATTTCCTATAGTAGGTTCTGTGTCTCTTAAGTATTTTATGATTTTGGTAAATATATCCAAATCTTTAATTCATTTTGAATTAATTTTTCATATGATTAAGTATGGATCTAGTTTCTTTTTCCCTTTTTTTTTTTGCATGAGGCTATCTGTGTTTCCCAACTGTATTTGTTAAAGCAGCTTTCCTTTCCCCATTGTACGGCTCCTTTGTCAGAGATTAGCTGTCCATATATGTGTGCACCATCACCTCAGTCCCCTGTGCTCCTCCCTCCCTCCTTCTGATCCCTCTCCCACCTCCTCCCCTGCAGTATGTCTCTGATTTATAATTGTCTGTTTTTGCTTTGTTGTGTTTTGTACTTTACACTGATGTCTTACTGGGTTCCCCTATATTTCTGCTATAAGTGAAACCATCTGATATTTTTCTTTATCCTTCTGGCTTATTTCACTGAGCATAATTCTTTCTAGCTCCATCCACGTTGAATGGCATGAGGTTATCTTTTTTGATTGCTGAATAATATTCCATTGTGTATATACCACATCTTCTTGATCAAATTAAAGATTTGGATATATTAACCGAAATCATAAAATACTTAAAAGACACAGAACCTACTATAGGAAATCTACCACAAAGATGTATTTGGGGAATCACCTCCAATAGCAAGGGAAACAAAAGCAAATATACATGGGGTTACATTAAGCTAAAATGAAACACAAAAGAAACTCACAAAAACAAAAAGGCAACATAAAGACTGGGGGAAGATGTTTGCATATCACACAAGAGGCTAATTTCCAAAATATACTTATGCAAAGTACTTATGCAATCCCAACAAAAGAAACCTGAAAACCAGTCCAAAAATAGACATTTTTCTAAAGACAATATTCAGATGGCCTAGAGGCATGTGGAAAACGGTTCAACATCACTTATTAAAGGATAAAGCAAATCAAAATCACAAGGAGATATCACCTCATCTCTGTGAGAATGGCCCATATCAAAAAGAGTGGAAACAACAAATTGTTGGTGAAGATGTAGAGAAAAAGGAACTCTCATGCAGTGTTGGTGGGAATGCAAATTGGTGCAATCTCTACAGAAGATGACATGGAAATTTCTTAAGAAAATAAAAATGGACATCCCATATGATCCAGCAATACCTCTGCTAGGTAGTTAACCCAAATAATATGAAAAGTTGAATTCAAAAAGATTCATTTACACCTATGTTCATAAAAAATTGTGGGATATATACTAGTGGAATACTACTCAACAATTTAAAAAGATGAAATAATGGACTCTGAGGTGACTATGCTAAGTGAGAAGTCAGAAAGTGAAAGACAAACATTGGCTGGTTTCACTTATCTGTGGAGCATAAAAATCAAAAGCTATATACTAGCAAAATACAGCAAAAACAAATCTTAGACTTGGTAAGGAATTTACTGGTTTCCAGAGGGAACAGTGGGAGTGAGGAGGGAATGGGGTAAGAAGGGACAGAGGGCACTGATGCAGGAAGTTTGGTGGGGGGTAGGTGAAGCATATACACATATAGAGGTGTGAAAATGTAACCCCAAATTTAGTCATGTAAATGACTTTAATAAAAATGAATTTAATAAAAAAAAAAGTCCCAGTCAGTACATTTGACTGGCATTTCTCCAACTACCAAATATGTTCCTTGGAATAGAAAAATTACTGGAAATTTTAAAAAAACAAACAGAAACAACAAATGAACAAATGTTGGTGAGAGCATGGTGATAAAGGAACCTTCTACACTGTTGGTGGGAAAGCAGACTGGTCCACCCCCCACCCCCATGGAAAACAGTGGGTGGTCCACCCACTGGGGAAAACAGGAAGTTGCTCAAAATATTAAAAATATATCTCCCATATGACCTAGCAATTCTACTCCAAAGAACACAAAAACGCTAATTCGAAGGGATATATGCACTCCCATGTTCACTGCAGCACTACAAAAAACAGCCAAGTTTATGGAAACAATCCAAGTACCTAATGACAGAGAGCGCATAGAGAAGATATGGTACATACACATGATGGAACACTATTTAGCTATAAAAAAGAGGATAAACTTTTGCCATTTGAAATGACATGCATGGAACTGGGACAAGGGAACAGGAGAAAAGGGGTTAAGCTCAGAAGGAGAAAGACAAATATCAGATGATTTCATTCATATGTAGAATATAGAGAAATAAAACAAAGGAACTGACAGGGGCCCAAGGGCATACGGGTGCTTTAGTGGTGGATGTGGTATGTGTTGACAACACGTCTGAGTAGGTATGAACCTATTCCCTTAAAATCATATACAGCATTGTAAAACCAATGTTACTTCAATTTAAAATATTTATTAAATTTTTATAAAATGGGGCCTCCCCGGTGGCGCAGCGGTTGAGTGCTGGGTTGCAAAGCTGCCCGCAGCCTCTGCAGCATCAGTTCAATTCCCGGCCACCGGGCGAGGGTCCCACATGGTGCGCAGACCTCTCCTGCCGCCCGCTGCTCCCCTCAGCAGTGTACTTCGGTCCTTCTGCCTGTTCTGCTCCCTGCTCTGGTGAATTCTCTCACCCTCCCGTGCTTCTTACTGTACCCAGTGCTTGTATAAATAAATAAATCTTAAAAAAAAAATTTTTATAAATGGTGACTGGATGTAAAAGAAAGGTAGATGATCAGTCTCCAAGCTAAAAAAATACATTAGCCATTTGTATTAAGAGAAAATATGGCTTAGAACTATACTGAGGGAATTAATTAACATAAAGAACAGTCAAGACAATATGGCGGATGGTGAGGAGCCAATGGCTGTTGATGGTGGGTGTGGGGACACTGGAGCCTGGGAAGGTCGCTGGAACCATGTAAAGAAGTTCCTCGAGTGACCTGGACTCTTCACACACCCTGATTTCGAACCGAGCACTGAATCTCTTCAGTTTTTGTTAGATACATGTAAAGTTCTAGTGATTGGAGCTGGCGGCTTAGGATGTGAGCTCCTGAAAAATCTGACATTGTCTGGTTTCAGACAGATTCATGTCATAGACATGGATACTATAGATGTTTCTAATCTCAATAGACAGTTTTTATTTAGGTCTAAAAATGTCGGAAGACCTAAAGCTGAAGTTGCTGCAGAATTTCTAAATGACAGAATTCCCAATTGCAATGTAGTTCCACATTTCAACAAGATTCAGGATTTTAATGACACTTTCTATCGACAATTTCATATAATTGTATGTGGACTGGACTCTATCATAGCCAAAAGATGGATAAATGGCATGCTGATATCCCTTCTAAATTATGAAGATGGTGTTTTAGATCCAAGCTCCATCGTCCCTTTGATAGATGGGGAGACAGAAGGTTTTAAAGGAAATGCCCGAGTAATTCTACCTGGAATGACTGCTTGTATTGAATGCACATTGGAACTGTATCCACCACAGGTTAATTTTCCCATGTGCACTATTGCATCTATGCCCCGGCTACCAGAACACTGTATTGAGTATGTAAGGATATTGCAGTGGCCTAAGGAGAAGCCTTTTGGAGAAGGGGTTCAGTTAGATGGAGATGATACTGATCATATTCAGTGGATTTTCCAAAAATCCCTGGAGAGAGCATCGCAATATAATATTAGGGGTGTTACATATAGACTCACTCAAGAGGTAGTAAAACGAATCATTCCTGCAGTCGCTTCCACAAATGCAGTCATTGCAGCTGTGTGTGCCACTGAGGTTTTCAAAATAGCCACAAGTGCATATATTCCTCTTAATAACTACTTGGTATTCAGTGACGTAGATGGACTGTATACATATACATTTGAAGCAGAGAGAAAGGAAAACTGTCCAGCTTGTAGCTAACTTCCTCAGAATATTCAGTTTTCTCCATCAGCTAAACTACAGGAAGTTTTGGATTACCTAACTAATAGTGCTTCTCTGCAGATGAAATCTCCAGCCATCACAGCCACGTTAGAGGGGAAAAATAGAACACTTTACTTACAGTCAGTAACCTCTATTGAGGAACGAACAAGGCCAAATCTCTCCAAGACATTGAAAGAATTGGGACTCGTTGATGGACAGGAACTGGCAGTTGCTGATGTCACTACACCACAGACTGTACTATTCAAGCTTCATTTTACTTCTTAAGGAAAATAAATTTACACATAATAGAACACACAGATAAACTTCATGGATGCTGAGAAATTTAATTGGTGTCATTTTTAGTATTAGTGTTGCTAGGATTTGACTTTTATATATATATATATATATATATATATATATAAAATGAGCCACTCTTTTTAATTTTATAACTATCCCTCGAAGACAGAATTTTTGGGATTGGTTAGTGTAAACATTTTGTTAAAATGGGAAATGATGCCTGGAGAGAGAGATTATGAGGAAATTTATTGCTTCTTTTAAAGGAGGAGGCAAATACCCTCTGTTGTGTGCATTTTGTGTTATGGAAAAATACATTCCTCAGTTTTCATTTGAGCACCCACATATACAAAGGTGTTCCTTTAAAGAAAATAACATTAATTTTTAAATAACACAAAACATTACAACCTGACATCTAGAGCATATTGAATATGGGCTACTTCTACTTGATTTAATATTCCTTTAATTCATTTATCTATTCAAATGAATATTAATTATTGCAAAGGTTACCTTGTCCATAATAATTTGTAAATGGTGATGTAGCTGAAAACCTGTGCATGGAAATGAGAAATATTTTCATCTGTTTACTTGCAGTGCCATAGAGCCCAATATGTACAACATTAAAAGACATGTATGTTTAAAAGAATTTAATGTTTAAACAGTTATCACTGATGCTTTTGCACTATTTATTAATAAAATCATATATTATCTACTTTTCTCAATGAAAATTTTAAATGTATTAAGGATTATAAATAGCTCCCTGTAATATAGGTAAAAATGTGTAGTAGAGTAATATACAAATTTTTATGGCACCTGAATTAATATTTTGCCACAGTACCAATTTAATCTGATTTAATATAATGAAATGGATTTAACAGTAAAAAAAAAAAAAAACAGTCAAGTATATACTGGTGGTACTACAAGACACCATTCTTGCTTCCATAGTTTCTAAGGAAGAAAGAAAATTATTTAATATTGGTTCAAAAATGCAAGCAAAATAAAATGCAGCATGTGGGATAAAAGATACATGATATGGAAGATTCAGCACCACTCTAGACAGGCATAACTGAATAATTTATTCCTCTATATAAAATTTTTAAAGATGAGATTCCCCAAAACACAAGAAAAGTAGTTGCAGAAGGTGTCAGTCTGTTTTAGAAAATCAAGCTTGGCTTCTGACCACTTCCGGTGCATAGTAGCTACACAAATCATTTGACCTCTCAATAAATCTATCCTCCATAAGTGCTTAGTTCATTAAATTCTGCTCATTAAAGACTTGGCTCTAAATTAAAGTTAAATCAATTTATTTGATCTGGAACTGATAAATTAATGATTACAGATAGGTATTACATGGATAATTTGATTTAATTTAAGGCTGAGTACTTTACAGTAGATTTCTAGAATCATCTAGCTTACATTGTGCATCTTTACTAAAACTAATAGAAGAAATGTCTTACTATGTATCTCTGATATAAAAAGGTTAAGTTTCAGGAACGTCTGTCAAAAAGCAAAGTTAAAAGAAAGAGAAGTTTGCTAAGAAAAAGTCTGAGTTAAACTCGGAAAAAACAATAGTAAAGACTTAAGGCTGATTACTGAGAACAGCTACAAATATTATCAAGCCTATGTTCTCAAAGATTAGTGACAATAAAAGAATGTATGAAAAAGACAGGTTACAAATGGATTTGTCTCTGTCGTATAGATAAGGTCTTAAAATTTGGTGGAGGGCAATTTTGATTCCCGGCCAGCCAGGGAGCTACCCACATGGCTCAGCAGACCTCTCCTAGCTCATCCTCTGCTGTCCTCAGCAGTGTATTTCAGTCAATCTGCCTGTTCTGTTCCCCACTCTGTCTCTGGTGAATCCTCTCACCTCCAGCACCTATGGCCTCTACCCCAGCTCTTGTAAGCATAAATAAATCTTTAAGAAAAAAAAAATTGGTGGGTACTAGCATCACCTAGGTGGGTACTAGCATCACCTAGGTAGTTTAATAAGAATGTAAATTCCTATGCCTAAAACAGTAGATATTTTTAGACAAGGCACAAGAAGGCAGATTTGAAATAAACGCCACTTCCAGCTAATTCTGACAGATGTATATGATGGTCTGTGCTTTGAGAAACAATGCAATATTCCAGGCACTGTACCAAGTACTCTTGTGTGTATTCCTTCACTTAATCCTCATGAGTTAGACATGTCCTTATTTTAAGAATAAAGAAATAGAAGCATAGGGGTTAAGATGCCCAACATTAAGCAACTAAAAAAATAAAGAATAAATTAAATGAAAGAGAAATAAAAAGGACAGAAGGGAAATTTGCTTTAATACATAGCAATTTTAAAGCATAACCGAGAAGAGGCTGACATTCTAAAATTATTTTTAAAAAACATCAAAGAGCTTACATCTTGTGTCACACAAAGATTAGGAAAAGTGAAAGACCAATATTGAAAATTACAAATAACTGCTTAAATAATTATTTAAAATGCAAGTGACCTCGATTTATAATCAGCTATATGTAGGTTGAGGTAGAGTAAAAGTACACTGAAGTAATCTGTTTAAAATTTCATTCCTTGAGCTTGGACTGAATCTAGTTATTTTTTTACAAAACTGTATAGAATATAAAGGAAGACAAATAATATATCTGGTGGGCAACTCTGATTTTAAAAAACGTTGTCTGGATCCCACCTCCAAAGATCTGATTTAATAGGTCTATGTGTAGTCTGTGCACCAGGATTTTGTTTTAATAATTGCTTGAACCTCCTCTGGCAATTCCAATCTGTAGTAAACATAGATAATCACTCTATTAGGAAATGTCCAGGGCTCATGGTTGGGAGGAAAAAGAAAAGCAATGGAAAGAGTAAAAGAGCCCCAAGAACCAGTGAGACAAAAAGATAAAATGAGAAAAAAAAAAAAGATTTTAAAACTGAACAGGATGCCAAAACATAACAAGAGTAATGAAAATTATGGAGTCACTGCATTTAACAAAGGTAGCTAGAAACCTGACAGTAATGATAAGATGGGTTTAGATGACTAGGGAACAGTCAAGTGGTGCAGCAATATTCTGCATTAGCAAAATCTGTAATGAGGACAGGATCAGTTGTCTGAGGCAGCCTGCATAGCAATGCACTTAACTACTACAAATAGATGGAAAAGAAGTGGATTCCTCCAGTCACTTTTCTACCTGGTGTTCCCCCACTGCCATCTAGTGGGTCAGGATAACAAGGAGCTGATTAGAACTGGAAGTGATTTCTAGGTGGCTGTAAACTCATCACAAAGCAGGTAACCAAAGAGCCTAGGGTTTAATCTCAATGTTTTTCTCTGTTTATTTAATATAAGACAGGCTTACGGTACAGGGTTTCTTTTGGGGGTAATTACAATACTCAAAAAGTGGTTGTGGAAACGGTTGCATAACATTTTTGATGTACTTCATTCCACTAAATTGTACACTTAAAAATGGATAAAATGGTAAAATTTATGTTACCTTATGTCACTTTAAAATAGTTGAGTGGTATGGTATATGAATTATATCTCAATAAATCTGTGATTTTAAAAAGGAGACAAAAGCAATAATTACTAATATTAAAAACTTTAGAAAGTTTTAAAAGCATGTCAGAAATCATTTAATCCTTTCATTGCAAGCCCCCTCCATGTCAAAAAAGTTAAACTAGAAACTAAGACGATTAAATTACCTACTCAACTAGAGAGTAAAACCTAGGTCAAGAAAAAAGGGGTAACAAGTTGCTTTAAAGTCTCTTGTCTCCCAAGTGAGAATTGATTTTCTTAAGCTTGGTCCAAAGTAGCGCTGTTTTGCTAAATAAATGCATTTAAATGTGAACATACCATGTTAATATAAATGTTCAGCTTGAAATTCAACATACAGAATTACGTGTAGATACTGTATGTAGCTTGACTGAATCCATCTGGGGCAAGTTTACCTTTACCTTTAAATATAAAGAGGCAGAGAGGAAATTCAGTTAAGGTGAAAAGGAAGGATAGTAATTGTCAACCCAGATTGCACATTATAACAACTTGGGGAGCTTTCAAAATGTCTATGTTCAAGACACACTCTAAGCCCATTTAATGTTGAGTCACCAATGTTGAGAACCACTAAATCAGAAGAGAAATCCCTCACAGAGAAAACGATCTAAAGATCAGAACTGTTCAAACACGAAGATCAAAAGAAAAGAAAAAAAAACCAGGAAGCCCATAGTAATGCAAAGTAAATTTCTTTTACTGATTTATGACTTTTATATCTAAAGGATATCTGCCTTTTTACGTGGTAAATATTTTCTTCAGTTTCTTGGCTTTTCCAATATAAGACAATTCGTTGACACACGTTTTTATCTTATATATCAAGTCAAAACAGTACACCTACCTATCAATCTATCTTTTCTCCTTTGTGTAATTTCTCCTTATCTCTGCCTCAAAGGCTAACAAGAACAACAAAAAAGTAAACGATTTTTCTGGCATGATTCTCAACCAAGGTAATGAATAAAAAGGCAATATAAAGCTAGAATTGTAAATGTTCTCAAATATTTACAATTAAACAGAAAAAGAAAAAACAAAAACAAAACATGAAAAGACCATGTGTAAAACAGCAACCTGACAACAATTTAACTTCTAAAGGGGTACTGCCTTGGGCCTCCCCTGGTGGCGCAGCAGTTGAGCGCTGGGCTGCGAAGCTGCCCGCAACCTCTGCAGAGCTGGTTCGATCCCCGGCCACAGGCGAGGGTCCCACATGGTGCAGACAGCAGTCTGCCTGCTCTGTTCCCTGCTCTGGCTCTGATGAATTCTCTCACCCTCCTGTGCTTCTGACTGTACCCAGTGCTTGTATAAATAAATAAATAAATCTTTAAAAAATAAATAAAAAATAAATAAAGGGGTGCTGCCTTTTCTGTATTTAAACAAGGATAATAATGATTTCATTTGTCAGTTTTGACTTAAAAATATCTAGGGGGCCTCCCTGGTGGCGCAGGGGGTTGGGATGCAACCTATGAAGCTGACCACAACCACTGCAGCATTCCCCCGCCAGGGAGCTACCCACATGGTGCAGCAGACCTCTCCTGTCTCGTGTGTTGCTCCCCTCAGCAGTGTATTTCAGTCGATCTGCCTGTTCT